TTTCCCCCAAATTTGAAAACACGTATCTCATACAGAAATAGGGATCTTGCAGATGAGGGCTGTGAAATAACACACACTAGTCTAAATTCTACAAGTAGAGCTAATTTGTAACCACAAAGGGGCCTTACTTATGCAAGGAGGAGGTGGAAGAGAATGGGAGACTGGGTGAGGGGGGCTGGTTTTGAATAAGGATGAAGGGACCGGTGCTGAAGGACTGTGGAAACTGAAATCAGAAAGGACACAGATGTTCTCTAGGAGCATGTGAACAAGCTGCAGCCTGTGCTTGTAGCCCACCATGACAAATCCTGTGCAAGATGCCCAACAGGTGCAGAACTGTAAAATAATCTGTTTGTGTTGTCTTAAGTCATTATATTTGTAGTAAATTTTTAGAGCAGTCATAAATCCCTCTTATACTACCCCTAGTCTACATCAGACTGTAATGGCAGCTGTGCCAAGTTATTTCACCTGCATTGCTGGAGGATATTCTGATTTAAGACTGCTTTCCAAATTCACATTTCCATATTAAAGAACAATGAATAAGAAAAAAAGAGAGTCTCCGTAGTGAGTATTATTCCTTCATAATAGAAACTCTTAGAAACATCTTCTCCAGGGCCGTTTCTTTCACATCAGTCAATTGCACAAAAGTTCCCTTGTTTGTTGTTGATTTGTCTTTTGATATTGCTTATAGAAAATTCTATGCTGACAAATGTGGAAACAAAATTGTAAGGACATGTTTCCCAAAGGGTCAAACAAATACCTTAGAAGCATCATACTGAAAAACTTCTCAAGACTCCTGCTGTTATGTCATTAATCCATTTCACTTGCTCTTCCATTATAAACATCTGTTTCATAATCCACTCCAAACTGTAACAAATAAATGTCAGGGCTCTGGAAATTAACCTCATAGTTTATAAAATCGAAGATGTGATTTTCAAATGATATCTACAAGTATTTTAAACACAGAGGAAGCAGGTTTAGTTACTAGAAGTGCAGACCCAATCATTAAAGTCACATTAAATTATTTATTGAGCAAATTACAGAAAATGACATCTGTTTTCTCTTACAAAGGTTTCCATGATTTTATATGAGTGACACAGACAGGAGTCCTGCTTTTGAAGTATAACAATAAAAAAATCACATGATTTTACAATAATAAAGTCAAGATTTAAGAGATATACATTTTTCATTAGTTAACAATGACAGCATAGTAGAGATTACTCGACTTCCCTTTCTGGAAATGTGAAATCAAGGTGTGGTGATTTCTCACAGAACTAACAAACCTGGAATCTCACTGTATGTCAATGTTGCAAGATATGAATCCTATTATTAGTTTTCAGTTTACCTTATTGAGTGATAAATATAAAGTTTATCATATTGTGTATCTTTCTCTTTACAAAAGCATTTCACCTTACCTAGCTGTACACAATGAAAACAAAAGGAATCCATGTTTCCCTTTAAATATATGCATTTTAAAATGAAACAAAGAACTCACATGAAGGTTTCCCTGCATCATACATCTTGAAAAATACCTATATGGAATAGTGTTTGTAAATCAGATAGGATGTCCACAAGTATACATCTCCTACACATGAAACCAAGAGTGTAAAAATCATTACCTTTGGCTCTAGCCACAGCACAGAACAAAACAAAACAAAACAAAATCTACCTCTATTGTATAAAGAGAAAAGTTCACATCTTAGGTAAAAAGGAAGAAAACTTCATTAAGAATTTTATATTCTAAAGGAACTAATCTTAGGCTAAAATTTAGTAGTCAGAAATCATTCAAAAAGAAACTTGTTGGGGCTGGTGTGGCCCTTTCTAGAAGAGCAGGTGTCCCTGTTGACTTACACAACACAACAGAATTGGTAAATTACATTTAAATCTATTAGAATTCCTTGTGGTTTAAAAGGCAGATGTAGAAAATGTCATTGGATCAATATAAACTGGTCAAAACTTCAAGAATATTTCCTTGATTAATCACTTCACATCACAAAATGTTTCAAGCAAATAAAAGCTCATAACAGAAATTTAAAAGTTAAGACATTTAACTATAATGACTAATTTTATAGTTTAAAAATTCCCAGAAAGCACTAAGAGTAAAAATGCTATGCAATATTCTACAAGTCTGACCTGTGACCTACTGCCATGACTACGTGACCATGGCAATTAGCATTGTGAAGCTCTCGAAACTGAGCTTGCCTGGCTGGCTCCATTCATCCCCCAAACACCAAAGCCATCCTTCTTTTATAGTTTATATATGAGTTTCAGCTAGTTTGTGACACAAGTGTTAGCCTATTCTTTCTGAAATCATTTTCATCAAAGGTTTCACGTTGGGATGGTGGATTTAAAGGATTACTCAAACTGGAGATTTTTTTTTTAAAAGAGATTTGGTTTTCACTTGTCCCTCTTGCCTTAACATTATCTGAAAGATGTCCATTATGCACTCTGCAGGAGAGGGTTAAAAAAAAAAAAGACACCAAACAAGCTTAGTCCTCGGTGTCTCTTACACATTGATATCCCAGGCTGACTTCAGTTTGGGTTCCATGTAGCTTCTGCTGTCCTGCCACAGCTGGGAAGGAGATCCATCACAGGAACCCTGCCTGCCATCAATACCCCTTTGTAACTGCAGCGACTGAGTGAACTCTTTCCATCTTCAATAACCGACACAGTGTCAACATCTGCTTCCAATAAAGTTGTTTCTTTTTTTTTTTTTCTCAAATAGAGTAAATCCGCTGACTGAGATCGTAAAGGGGGTGCTTCCCCCTCCCTTTCCATGCAAGCGATTTTTTCCACCATATTGTGCAACTTTTCCTCCCAGGCAAGTCAAAACAAGGGGGAGGGGGAACTGAAAAGGAACATTCTTAGTCCGGTGCCACGGAAACACAATGTATATCTGTCAAATACAAAGTTAGGTGGCTTGATGACACTGTCCTCCTAACTTCAGAGACAGCAATGTATAGAGTTGTGAATGAATATGACTCAGACTCAGCCTACATACCACTAAATGTTGAATTAACTTTCCTTCAGAAACACCATATTAAAAACTCAGAGTCAATTAAGAAGTTAATACTTTTCCCCCCATAAGATGAGAGAGATGCATTCTCTTTGCAATGACTCCTTACAGAAAAGCAGTCACTGGTTTATTTGGCTGCTGAAGAATGACTATGCAACATGAAGAAAAAAGGATATTTATGAGTTCAATTTAATAAGCAACTTGTTGAACTGATGGTCATTTGTGGAGGCTGTGAGTTATTTGAACATCTATACTGTAAGTCAGGTACATCTGTATGTTTTCAAACTTTCACAGTCTTTCTTATTAGGTAGGATTATCCCATTTTTATCATGAGGTAAATAAATGAAGTTCCAAATCACACAATAAACCATGGCTAAGTCAGCATTCAATGAAGAACCAAGCTTACACTAACCCTCCTGTTCCCCTCCTCTCCTATCAGTCAAAACATGTGTCCCTGCCTTGTCCATCACTACTGCCACTCCCACTGGCTAGTTCAGCAAACACTACTTCACATGGGCTGCTTTTTATAAGGGACAGAATTCAATTTATAAAAATGCAGTCTCTGTCACTTGAAATTACAGCTACCACCGTCAGTCACATAGTGAGCTTAAAGCTACTTCCTTTCTCATATTCTGCAAGCTTAGAAATGGACAAACACTATTTGTAAAATAAATGACAAGCTCATATAGGCATCCTCTAGAACATTCTTTTAATCCTCCAAAATCAAGAAATGTATTCTTCAATATTTTGGGGGCAATATAACTATTTTGGGGAGTTAGGATAATGCAATTTTTAAAAAGAAGTGGCTAAGAGAAAAATTTAAAAAGTTAGCTAACTTTCTTGATTTATAAAAATGTTTAGACTCTAAATGTTAGAAGCTCTTTACAAATTCACAAGGAAAGATCAAATATCCTGTGTGGACTCTGATAGTAGATAGTTCATTGGTGGAATAATAGATTACATATAGAATTATAAAGTTTTCCAGTGTCAAGTTTATAGGTTTTCAGACAGACTGAAAGAAATTGACACTGTAAAACAGGCAGAGGAAGAGTGGATCTAATGAAGTGAGTGAGGCAGGTGGTGGATCTAATAAAGTGAGTGTGGCAGGTGGTACCCACCCTGCAATATAGCAGTCATACTCTGAAGTGAGAAATCCAGATCCAGAGTGTAATAGCACTTTACATGCACGTGAATTCAGATTATTCATTATGCTATGTTTTAGCTCCCTTTATTATTTCTGCTTGTTACAGTAATGTCAAAACATTGAGTGATGCTGGACAATAGACAGGTTACCTCTCCTTTTACTAGATTTTGATGTATTCCTTTGATGACAGTGTACCACTGATACCCATGCTTGTTCTCTAAGGAAGAGCATATGTCTATGTTGCGTGCAATAGAAGTCAGATTTTTCACTTTCCTTAGGCCTCATGCCAAATGTTTTGCCTGTAGTTATGAGGCGATAAGAGCAAAATCACTAAATTACCTGTTTTCTCTTTCAATCTAATTTGATGGAAAAGAAAGAAGCAGAGAGTTGGCTCTCTCAGCCTCATCTCAACTTGGAATAGCCAACAGAAGAAGCTCTTTGAGTTCTCACTGTGGCACTGTTCTAAGAGAATGCAGTATAAGTCAGTATGTTCGAAGGCAAGACCAGTAACAGCCAGTGATTCTCCCACCCCGCCACCCCCCCCACCCCCCACCCCCGGGAGTTGCTGAGAACTTGGTTCTCAAAACTTAGGAGAACTCAAGCCAAAATGAATTTGACAGATTCATTCAACTCTGTGGTCCACATATTTGTGCAGATAACAAATAAAACATTTTTTGTTATCAAAGTCCAGATAAAAAAGCACAGAATTTAATGAGGCCACTGTCTGGAAATTGAAGTTTATATACCAGCGAGTGGAAGGTGCCATGAGTCTAGACTATATTGGGAAAAATATGAAGACTGTGTTAAGGAAAATCAAGATGAAGAAATGATGGAGTCTATGGAGACAAGCAAGGACATGGGTTTATAATGCAAATGCAGCTGGAGGAGAAGCTAATGTCCCCGATACAGCCAAGGAAAATATCAGGAAATGAGCTGTGAGAATTCTGCTGAACCGCTTGTTTGGTCGTTAATGTGTAAAGTATTCACACCCATGACGTACACAATTAAAACCAGAAAGTAGCACGTTTCTCAGCATTCTGTTTCGTGTGGGTTGAGAGAGATGGGGAAATTTGTAAAACATTATCAAATGAGAGCATCAGCACTACAATCACTTCCAATGTCAACGAGGGCTGGGAGCAACTGAGAGGAAGAACAGACTGTGTCTTTGATTTGGTAGTCAGCACTCCCTTCATAATCCCAACCTTGGCCTAATCTCTTAAGGTTAATCCCAACATCACTTTCTTTTTATCTGTGTGCCATGCGAGGCTCACTTCTCAAGCTTCCCATTTCTAATCCAGTTTCTGTAATTAAAGTATAAACTTAAATCTATTGCCCCTTTTACTTCTCTGTAATTTTTAAGAAACTAATTACACTTAGAAGAAAATTAAAATATTGCCAAATCCTCCAATTATAACATTACATACAGAATCCATGACTTATCAGGTCACAATGGTGAGGGACAGTCAGCACTCTGTCACGTGTCTACGTCCTCTCCTATTATGGCTCATTTGAATTCATTCCAGGAAATGAATTCATTCAAAGTATGACTTCCAAAACTGCCACAAATGAGTGGTTAGAAATTAGAAAAAATCAGTTACTGGTATCCACAGGTATCATGGCTAAATGCATTGTCTTTCCTGTGTTGAGCTATGCATAAGCTCTCTTCTAAATTATTAAGATGGGATGGACTGTAAAGTTTGAGTTCATTAACCTAAACTTTCTTGTTAGCCAACCTCCTAGAACTCTTTGGGAGACATCAAAGTAATAAAATACCCTATCATTTGTGGCCCTTCCAAAGAAAGTGCCTTTTCAAGCTGCACATATGTGTCTGCAAACTAAGGGAGATAGCATGGAATTAAATCTTCACTGAGATTCAATATAAATGCATCGCTGCACTGGTTTGTCTATGGCAGTGCCCCTGTTACAGGCTGAAACCCTTGAGGTACCCTCGGAAGCACAGACCCAGAACACTGCCGACACTTTGAAGATCTGTGCTTCAACAAGTTTTGGCCAGTGCTTTTCTGAGAGCAAGTTCTTTAAACAGAACTCAACAACTGTTACAATATTTTAAAAAAAAAAATTACATCCCTCCAAAATATCCCCTCCATGCTCAACCAAAGTTTCTGTATTTCTACAAAAAAATAGATGAAGAGAGAGCTACAAAATGGTTTTCCTGAAAGAATGAGCATTTTCTTTTGGTGGCTCATCTTTTGACAAGGCGGCTGGTTCCAAAAGAAAAAAGAAGAAACAAACAAAAACTACCCAATGTACTGGTAAAAGGTGAGTAAAATGAGACGTCGCTCAGCTGACAAAGGCTCAGATGAGGGAAAACAGACGAAACGCTTCTCCTCAATGACTAGGACCCACTCTGTTTTCTCCAGAAAAGGTTCAAATCGAAAGACAATGGCCTCATATGTCCTCTTCTCCATCCATGTTTCCTGTGTCCCATTGCTGGATAGGAAATCCCCATGGCATCTTTTCCCAATGGGACCTGGGATTCAGGCTGCAATAGGGTCTGCTAATACCATGCTTCAGTACCAAGCTGATTCTTTGTTCTTGTCCTGATGCTGAAGACCTAAAAATGATGAGAATGGAAAATGATGAAGAACAAGCATACACATGTAGCAGTCATAAATGCTCATGACCTGCAATACACTGAGTACAGAAAGTGAAACCCTGGCAATCATGAGAAATGACCAAAGGATAACCTGGTCTCTAAAAAGGAGCACAGAATGTGAAAAGAATGCTGTACTAGAACAATGCTTTAATAAAATAGAAATTTTTTGCTATGTTTTATTTTTTATTTTCTTGGATTAGGAGTGCATTAAAATTGGAAATTGTACCTTAACTTTAGAAGATGATAGTGTAAAAGAAAACAGTCATAAACAACTTGAACATTTGAACAATGCTTCAATTAAAACTTCCAGCAATTAGACTTGTGGACTAATATATTCAGTTGTTTTAAAATGTATTTCATTCAGAGGAGCATCATTAAAATCACAGCAAGTGGTTAAATATGATTAAACACAGAGTTTAGTACTATTGATAAGCTAGTAGGCCATATTGTGACTAGTACAGACCGATATTATATTTATTAAATTCCTTCTTTTAACATCTTTCTCATCATGAATTCAAAGTGGGCTCAGGAAAGCCTGAGGGACATTGCAATCAAATGAGATTAAATTAAGTATAAAACGGATGTGTAAACACATCTAACGTACAACTGAAAGGTAAAATAGAAAGTTGATTAAAGAGGGTACATAGAAAATGTGATTCTGAGCCGGGCGTTGGTGGCGCACGCCTTTAATCCCAGCACT